GGGTTTAGTCGGGTTCGGTTCGGGTTTAGTAACATGTCCAAGATCCGGTTGAACCCGAAATAATTTCGGTTTCGGATACTAATCGGGTTATCGGTTCTAAAAATACTAATTTATACTCAATTAAACTCACTATATTTTCAATCATTTTATTAAATTTGTGTATTTAGCTTCTACAAACCATATTGTTCTCCTTCAAAATAATATTGTGAAACTCGTCTATCAACCAAATAAGATTTGTCATTGAACAATATGGTTTAGCATCTACAAACCATATTATTCTCCTTCAAAATAATATTGTCATGATTAATGACAAACCAAAACCTTGTATGAACGAAATATTATACATAATAAAACATAAAAAATTAAAGTTAACAACTAACAATTCTATAAACGTAAGAAGTACTATTTACACTTTAAAAAAAACATTATATAAACTTCAAAACAAATTTATTCGTAACTTAACTTCAAATGTAATGTCAATCATAAACATTAATAATAAACAAATAACACTATACATTAGACTAAATATTGGAGTTAATTATTTATATCATAACTAATTATTGTAGGTACTCAATAATATATTAATCTGTTTTGGAAAACATATTAGAAATTTACATTGGATATGATACAAGTTTTTTAGGAGTTTTAAAGTTTCGGGTTCTTTCGGATATCCATTTAAGTTCGGGTTCGGTTCGGATAATACCCATAACCCGAAATACCGTAAAACAAGATCCATTCGGTACTTATGTCGGGTTCGGATCGGTTCGGGTTCCTTTTTATCGGGCCGGATTCGGTTCGGATTTTCGGGTTCGGTTTTTTCGCCCAGCCCTAAGTTTGACCAACAAAAGTTTCGTCTCTGCACCGTCGCGACTCGCGAGTTCATATTGTTGTTTAGTTTAATTGAAGAACAGTGACCTCGTGTAGCATGATCATAATAATGGAATGAATGAGAAGTGGTTATATAATTAAAATAAAGATGGAAGCTTTGGTTCACTTATCTCTAGAATCCAAGTTGTACTGCTATTACATAACCCATCAAAAACCATATAGTAAAAACTAATCTTGGAAAGAAATACGAGTAAAACATGATGTTCCGTTTTTAAACTAAGAGAGTAGAGAAACACACACAGAAGAAAAACATCAGAAGTGAAATCTACAGTTCGTCCTTAGTTGGTGTCTCTTCCTCAACAGGTTCAGCTTCAATGTTTAGACCACCACCGGGCAAGTCATCTGATTTTGTCTCAGTGGCCTCCTCACTGGTCTCTGTCTCCTCTACCTCGACTTCCTCGTCGGCTACGGCATCAGGGCTGATCTTAAGGCTGCTCTTGACTGAGTTGTAAATACGGCCTGCAAAGTCTTTCGGGTCATTGAGTATGAATCCACTCTCGATCAAAGCCGTCTGGTACATGAGCTGTGCTGTTTCTTTCACACTCTCATCCTGCAAGAATTTTTGTGTCAGGATTTAGACGGAAGGTAAATAAAAACAAAGAAGTGATGTGTCTTATGTTTTTACCTCTGGGTCGTTAGCAACTCTTTCCTTGAGTTCTTTGATGATTGGGTGTCGTGGGTTGATCTCAAGGACTCGCTTTCCACGCATGTAAGCTTGCTTGTTTGCATCGGAGAGAGTTTGGGACTGCATGATCCTTTCCATGTTTGCACTCCATCCAAACTTGGAAGTTACAACGACACAGGGAGTGTCAGCCAATCGGTTACTGATTTTAACATCGTCCACGTTCTCACTGGCGAGACTCTCTTTCCACCACTTGGTTAGCTCCTTGAATGCTTCTTTCAGCTCCTTCACTTTTGAGTCTTTCCCAACCTTCAGTCCTTCTTTTGACACATTCTGGAACTTCTTGTCCTCGTAATCCATTAGGTATTGCATCAAGTATTCATCAACGGGGTCTGTGAAGAAGATGACCTGCGAGCACAAGTGTTGGAACGTGAGATGCGAGTTGGCACTGGATAAAAAGAAGAATTATTCGGTTCAATTCAAACCTCATAGCCCTTTTTGATGAGCCTCTCCAGGAATGGAGATTTCTCCAGTTGCTCCTTGCTGCTTCCAGTAATGTAGAATACGTCCTTTTGACCCTTCTTCATTCTCTTGATGTACTGATCCAGGGAAGTCAACTTGCCATCTGACTTTGTTCTGAATTAGCAAATTATAAATCTTTAGCCAGGTGGTGATAGTAAGCAGTCAGATGTGTACAAAAAGGTAACAGAAGCACATACGTCTCAAAACGGAGAAGTTTCGCCAGGCGGTTCCTGTTAGAAGCATCCTCAATGATGCCAAGTTTAATCGACTTGCCAAACTCGTTCCAGAACTTGGTGTATTGACCCTTCTTCTCGTCATTCTCACCAGACTTCTCCACATCTGTTAGCCAAAATTTAAGCAAGTTTAGAACAAATTTCAGAAAGATGAAAGTACCATGGTAGAAAAAGAATATGGAAAACGTAAAGTGGTTTGAAACCAAGAAGCTGGTTATATGGAATACCTTTTTTGTCATCGTCATGGACTTCATCAGGGTCTTCTTCAGCAAGCTTGCGGATCATATCAAGAGCCTTTCGGATAAGCTTCTTCTTTATTGTCTTTAAGCTGCTGTGTTGTTGGAGCATTTCTCGTGATACATTGAGAGGCAATGTGTCAGAGTCAACAAGACCCTGCAGAAGTAACTCACATTAGCGATCCAGCCCGTGAAGTAAATATTGAAGGTAACACTTAGTTTGTCTTCCAGTTAGTTACCTTCAAGAAACTCAAATATTTAGGCAGAAGCTCGTCAAATTCATCTGAGATGAATACCCTCCTGACATAGAGCTTCAAATTGGCCTTGTTGCTGTTGTAGTAGCTCTCGTAGAGATCATGGGGAGCTTTCGGAGGAACATACAACACAGCCTTGAATTCAACATCACCTTCAGCATTAAAGTGACTCCAAGCCATTGGCTTCTCGTCAGAGAAATCCTGTAGAGCAACTAGGGTCAGGAAAATCTGCACGAGAGTCTTACACCAAGTGTGCAACAAGTATTATTTGTTCACGCAGGATTTCACCTTTGCGAGAGAGTGGTAGAATTTAGTGTACTCTTCCTCTGTCACCTCTTTCGGACTTCTCAGCCATATAGCCTTAACATCATTCAGAAGCTCCCATTCATAAACTGTTTCTTTCACCTTTTTCGTTTTCGGCTTTTTCTCACTGTCTTCATCTTCAGCATCTTCTTCCTTCTCTTCCTCGGTAGAGGGGGTTTCTGAAGCGAAATACCATTACTAAGACTCAGGACTGTCTGACTTGTAGGAACAAAGACACGCTAAAGCAGAAAATTATAATTGCGATGTTTCATTATAACTCACCAGTTTCCTCTTCATCTTCCTCAGCTGGAACCTCAGTTTCAACCTCTTTGCTGGCCCAGAGGTGGATAGGGAAGTTAATGAATTCAGAATATCTCTTCACCAAATCCTGTAGTAGACAACGATGAACATAAGCAACGACAACGAGACAATAGACAGAAATAAGTATTGCACTGTACTCATAATTTTTTTTAACCACTTGTCTCAGCAGAGTTTGGGTAACTTTTGGTTCGTATCGCTCTCTAAGAAACAAAATAAGAATTACCCTCTGTCATTCTCAACTTTATAAAAATATTACTCACCTTAAGTTTACTCTCCTCAAGGTACTCGCCAGCTTCATCCCTAAGATGTAGTCTAATCTCAGTTCCACGTCCAAGAGGCTCATTCCATGTATCCTCGGAAACAGCAAATTTACCGTCAGCCTTTGATTCCCACACATGTCTGAAAATGAAACAAAAAAGTTATAAAAAAAGCTTTCCAAGTGAAATTTCATGCATACAAGTACATATCTCCAATACAAAACGCAATCCGAAATCAACTTACTGGATGTCATCATTGTGCTTGCTAATGACCTCAATGTAGTCAGCAACAAGATACGCAGAGTAGAATCCAACTCCAAATTGTCCAATAAGGTTAAGATCCCCGCTCGATTGCATTTTCTCAACAAAAGCTGTGAAATACAAGATCTTGAATACTTGAAATTTTCTTGATCAAAACCTATTAAACGAATCTACGTATCACCACATAAGCAAACATACCTGAAGTTCCAGATTTTGCAATGGTACCAAGGTTCTTGATCAAGTCCTCCTTAGTCATTCCAATACCACGGTCCCGAATAGAAAGAATCTTCTTGGCTTTGTCTAACTTAATCTGCACATCATCGTTCAATATGAAAACTTCAGATCTCTAAAGCTAACGTACAAATCTCATACCGTCTACTAAAAGATGTAGCTAACCTGGATCTCAAGCTTAGCAGTATCACCTTCACCCAAAACATCTTTATCAGTGAGTGCAAGGAACCTAATCTTATCCAAAGCCTGAAGAAAATTAACAAACACAATCAGTCATTATCTCCCCTATTCAACAAGCAATAATAATAAACACAAAAAGGCTTACATCAGAGGCATTGGAGATCAACTCTCTAAGGAAAATATCCTTGTTACTGTAGAGAGAGTTGATAATAATGTCCATAAGCCTCGAAACCTCAGCTTGGAACTCAAACTTCTCCGCGTTACTGCGAAGTGACTTCTTCGAGATCGACTCAGACTCTCTGTCAAGTTGAATCAACATCAGGAAAATAGATTTACTGTATTGAGATGGAAAGTTATAGCGTGGTGAGATGCTAACCTATGAACCACATCTGAATCAGTCGATAAACCGCCGTGACCACCGAGTTTCTCCTCCACCTTCGGTGGATCTGTAACTTCATCGGAACTATCTTCTGCATTCGCGTGAAGCTTTCTTCCTACGATACATACACCGTTTGTTAGCGCATAGATCGAAACCGAACGGTTAAGTCATTCAAAAATCAAGTGTTTGGAATTTGGATCGTACCTTGATCTGGAAGAAGGAAGAGAAGGGAGAATAGGAACAAGACGGACACGAGCGTCCTCTTCCTCATCGTTGAGATCGTATTAGCTTTCGATACCGCAAGACTCTCTCTCGCTAGGTTTTGTTTGAGGGGTTTATTCACTCACTCACTCACTGATGATTTCGAGCTCGAAGGAGAAGAGATCCGTAAAATAGGAGATTGATTCTGTGTCATTTGCGTACGCTTCGGTTTGTGAGCTACGTCTTGATTTGTTGACGTGGCAGATCCAACGGTTTAGTATTGCTGAGGAGTCCACGTGGGGACTTTGTATTGGAGAGAGGTTTTGAACTTGACGTGGATCGACGTGGGTGTCGGGTTTTGTAGTGTTGGTCACTGGATGGACGACTTGAATAATCTAAAGTCTTTTAAGTCGACTGTTATACACGTGTCGTCCTTGTTGGACGATCGGACGGCCATCTTTACTCGTATTACACGTGGTCTTGGATTATTGGATGCTAGAACGTCAGATTTGCAAAGCTAAATCCAGATGACTTTCTGGATGTTTCTTCTACTTCACTCACGTTTTGTATGTTTGGCTGCATGGATACTATTGTTCTGATTCTGCATTGCAAGAAGACACATGAACTTTTCTTTACGACAGCTCATAAGTCATACTCTGTTTCAAATAACCACAGTTACTTTCTTGGTTGGGTCTGGGAGGTGTATCAAACAGTTTCAGAACTGCTCTTCTTGTTCTATGAAACATTTATCCACAAATGAGTATATGAACACCAGGAAAGGAAGACGATGGTAACACTTTCTTGAGATTTGCAGAAAAACTATATTGTATTTCTATTTTATGGAGAAAAAAACAAGATTAAAAAGAAACTTGACATACACCGTATCAATCTTTGAAACTAGTCTTCCTATATGTTATCAAATAAGGGAGAGAATTCATCAAGACGGATTATAAGTTACCTCTCAACACTAAAAGAAAGACCAATGTTCTCATCTAAAATGGTTTAAATCTATCACCTCTCTTTTATTGCAAACAGACTTAATTTTTCTTCAAAGTAAATGTAGTGAAAGATTACACACACATGATGATGATTACAGACTTTGGTTGGGGTCATTAGACAAAATGGTGGTTAGTAGAAGCAACAACGTTTAAAACTTGAGTACTAATCTCTTAGATTTGCGTATGATCCTCCGGCAAATCGGACACACCTTGTTTTCTTCCGACATGATCTTCTCAGCACAGCCGCGACAAGTGGCAGAGTGACCGCACGGTACGAAGAAACAGTTTCTCCGTTCCTCGAAACATATGACACAATATGTCGAGTAGTCCACATCCTCCGCAGAGCTGAACGACGCCGTTTCCAAGTCTCCTTTACCCGTTACTTCCAACGTCTCGTTGACCAACGGCACCCAATCGGTGACTTCTTCTCCTGCCATCGCTGGGAACCTCTCCGTGTCATCTTCCACGTCACAATCGCTCAGGAATTTCAGTATCAAAAAAATAAGGAACATTATAGTCCCTGAAAAACAATTACAAAAAGCATGTTAGGTTTACATAGAAAATGATAGTTCATGTTATAAGTATGAGAGATTAGTTATTATACCCAAAAATGTAATATAAACCACCAATCTAGCGGTGACGGGTAGTTCAGTGTACCATTCACTGAACTCATCCTGCAAAATACCGGAGAACATATATCTTGAGATCGTCGTTTTGAACATCTTCAAGATATAAAAAAATGGCTCAATGATGATAGAATGATTCGTTCTCTATGAAGTTATATTGGATATTTTCTTGCTTGTTTGAGAGCATTAAAGAACTAAATTGCTGATTAATTCCAAGTACTGTTGTGATTTTGACAGAATTTATATAAGATTGTGTCAAAGGGACTCGTCGTGCAATCCATATTTTTCTTAATTTGATCAGAAAAGAGGGAGAATACAGGTTGCTGACACACACAAATAGAAGGTAATATCCAAAAGTCTGATTTAATACACATTTCTAAGGAAAAAATTGATTCCGTTTACTCCTAAGCAAAAGGATTATTTTTGTCTTGAACTAAGACTATATAGTCACTGACCCACCACAGATCTCTTGTGGCAGACTCTATAGATCAACGAAAATTTAGTTAATGTACACTCTCTCTTTTTTTTAAAAATAAATGGAAAGTACCAAAGTGTTTGTAAGTAACTGTTTGTTTGAGGGTAAAAAGAAAAAATACTTAAAATGAGTTTTCTTTTGTGTTTGCCTTTTATAATACAAAATCCGGAACTGTTCTCAAAACATTGTTCATATGGCTCGTTATATGAGGTAAGGGGCAATTTGTTAAAGGTTGACGACACTTATGACTTATCTGTTGTAATGGGGAATATAATAAAAAAGTGTCCAGCTATATTTATCTACAATCTGCGCATTCTTTGAGAATTTTAAATAATGTAAGTTCTAAAATAAACATGTAAAATACTGTTCTTTTTTTTTTGTCAACGTTTCAAATAATGTTCAGTTTACAAACTTCAACCAAAAACATGACTTTTGAAGTTGTCAAAACAACATGAATTTTGAATTTTGATACTGGAAATACATGAATATTTTGATTGTGGCATGCACCAGGCAGGTGGAGCATGGATGTGGTACGTGCCCTACTCTAATCCTTATTTTACTTTGAGTAACGAATCTAAAATATTTTTAAATACTTTTTAGTTAAAAATGTTACTTATAAGATATGCCTCATTAAATATGTTGTTGGATTCACCTCTACACACTTGGATAAATGTACGCTTTTGAAGTTTTAAATGATGTTAAAGTTTTTTTTGACATTAATCGAAAGATATTTTAAATTATCTTCCAAATTTGGATTAGATAGTGTGGTACGTTTTTACTCTGTAGCTAAATGTATTTTTGGGGGACAGACCGAGTAGAAGATTCATAAAAAAAATGATGTTGGAGTTTGGTTTCAGCGGTGGAAGAGATCGGTGGTAACTGGTAAGCCGACAACAATGGTGAAGTAACCTACTGAGTACACAATGTTATGTGTGATCCATGTTTGATCCTCTTTTGATTACATGTATTAGCTTAAGCTTTGTGTTCAATTGTTGTATCTTGGGCCTAAAACTTGGGCTGTGTACTGCTTCTTGTAACCTGTTTGGGTTTTCGTTTATCAAACAAAATGATTTCGATGAAGACAAAAACAGCTCTGAGGGTAAACTCGTCACCTCAATAAAAAAATCAATCGAACAACATTCATTGTATTTTATTTTTCTTTGTCGTCTTCGATAATACTCCAAAGAGAAGGCCCCTCCAGAGCTCATAACCCAAAACCTCCCATCTTCCTCGATCTCAATACTTTATCTCTCCTCTCAATCAAAACCTTGATTCTCCACAATCCATTCCACATGAAACGCTGTGCTTCAAACTCAGTCGATGAGAGGCAAGAGAACAAGAAGATGAAGACCACCCCAGAGGAAGAGATCGGATTCGCGAACTTAGACGAGAATCTACTCTACGAGGTGTTGAAGCACGTGGACGCAAAGACCTTAGCAACGTCTTCTTGCGTGAGCAAGATCTGGCACAGGACTGGACAAGACGAGCGTCTTTGGGAGCTGATCTGCACGCGTCACTGGGCTAACATCGGCTGCAGCCAAAACCAGCTCAGATTCGTAGTTTTGGCTCTTGGCGGGTTTAAAAAACTCCACTCGCTCTACCTATGGCCTCTCTCGAGTCCGAATCAACGTGGTAGGTTGGGGAAAGATGAGCTGAAACTCTCCCTTTCTCTCCTCTCGATTCGTTACTACGAGAAGATGAATTTCACTAAGAGACTTCCGTAGAGTCCAAATAAATTACCTTCAGATCTAGTTTTCCAGCATCGTTCTTATATGTTTTTACTACTATTATTATTTTGTAAGATGCTTTCAAGCTTGTTCTCATATGTTTAATGATGTTAGTTCTGGCATTATCCATGTAAGCCAGACTGTCTGAAACAGCTTGTTCTGTAATAATAGAGGCTGGTTTGAATATTTAAGTGAAAACATATTTGAAATTTTTTCCTACTTGATCAGATCCAAATTGAAGGAAATATTCTTACCCATCTCCCTATTATGGCAGACTAGTATAAAAGCTCTGTTCATTCTGTATGAAATTAGTAACTAATTCCAGAGAAATGATGTGGTTTACCAAGAAACAACAAAAAAATAGAAACTTTAATTGGAAAATTAGAACATATTCACAAAGTTTTGTTCATAGATGTATATGAAAATTAGTAACAAATTGTAAAGTAATTGTGTGGCTTACCAAAAAAACACCAAAAATGATGTTATTGAGTAACTAATTGTGTGTTAGCAAAAAGAAAAGAGAGTAATTAATTGTGTAAACTAGTTTAATGTTTTTGTATAAGATTTATATGAACTACTGTATATGAGATTTTTTATTACAAAATGACAAGAAAATAAGAACAGAAAGAAAAAGAGTATTTTTATTACAAAATGACAAGAAGATGCTGAAAGACAACCTCACACGGTTCTAAAATAACTTAAACCGCGAGAGCCTACAACATCTTCCTTGTCTTTGTTTCTCGTGTCACCGATTAGATCGAAAAAATGAGTTGGTGGTGGGCTGGCGCCATCGGAGCTGCCAAGGTAAATATCAGCCACGTCAGATCTTTCATCTTCTTCTTCATAGTCACTGATCTATAGAATCTGTCTTTCTCTATCTCGCAGAAGAAGTTCGACGACGATGAACCTACAACACAAACCTACGAGAGCGTCGCACTAATCATCGGCGTCACCGGAATCGTCGGAAACAGCCTCGCCGAGATCCTCCCTCTCTCCGACACACCAGGCGGTCCATGGAAAGTCTACGGCGTCGCTCGCCGTCCTCGTCCCTCCTGGAACTCCGATCACCCCATCGATTACATCCAGTGCGACGTCTCGAACCCCGATGACGTCAGATCCAAGCTGTCACCATTAACCGACGTCACACACGTCTTCTACGTCACCTGGACAAACCGCTCCTCCGAGAAAGAGAATTGCGAAGCCAACGGAACTATGCTCCGTAACGTCCTCCGTGTAGTTATCCCGAACGCGCGGAATCTCCGACACGTTTGTCTCCAGACAGGGACGAAACACTACATCGGTCCCTTTAGTGGTCTTGAGACGACTCAGTATCATGATCCTCCGTTTACTGAGGATATGCCGAGGTTGAAGATTGAGAATTTTTATTACACGCTTGAGGATGTTCTGTTTGAAGAGATTAAGAAGAAAGAGAGTGTTTCTTGGTCTGTGCATAGACCGAACACTATCTTCGGTTTCTCTCCTTATAGTTTAATGAACATTGTGGGGACTTTATGTGTCTACGCAGCGATTTGTAAGCACGAAGGTTCTAAGCTGATCTTCCCTGGGAGCAAGAAGGCGTGGGAAGGTTTCAGTACAGCTTCTGATGCGGATTTGATCGCTGAGCAGCAGATTTGGGCTGCGGTTGATCCGTACGCGAAAAACGAGGCGTTTAACTGCAACAATGATGATGTGTTCAAGTGGAAACATCTGTGGAAGGTTCTTGCGGAGCAGTTTGGGATAGAGGAGTATGGGTTTGAGGAAGGGAGGAATTTGGGTTTGGTGGAGATGATGAAAGGGAAAGAGAGGGTGTGGGAAGAGATGGTTAAGGAGTATCAGTTGGTGGAGAAGAAGCTTGATGAAGTTGGTGTGTGGTGGTTTGTTGATGTGATACTTGGTGTTGAAGGGATGATTGATAGTATGAACAAGAGTAAAGAACATGGGTTTCTTGGTTTCAGGAACTCTAACAACTCTTTTGTATCTTGGATTGATAAGTACAAGGCTTTCAAGATCGTGCCTTGATCGGATCTTACGTACAATGGGCTTGGGATGTTTCTCTTGTTTCTTCTTCGTTTTATGTTCTTTTGTTGTCTGCAAAAAGAATAAAATAAATGCGGATTTGCCGTTGTTTAAGTACTCCATCTTTTTAGTCTTTCTATGTCTCTTTTGAGATTCTACTGTTTTGGGATAGTTTTTTTGGTAATATTACTAGTTTTCCCAGATTCAAAGCTCTCCTCTTTGCAAATTGAATGTAAGGAAACTTGCTTATTTATGGTTTAGCTGCAATCAGCTTGCTGTTGCTTAGAATCAAAACAAAAGGCAAACTACTAGGAGGGTGTAAGTTCCCTTGCTTGTTTCATGTCTTAGCTTATCTACTACACACAATAAATCAATCAATCCATACACACACAGATAGATAGGATATTTAAGTGGTTTTTGTTTTGCTGCAACTCCTTCAGACCATAGGGTGAGGATAACGAATTATGTAGAACACTATACAAACCAAGTCACCAAATGGTCTATTTACTGCGTTTATGATTATCTTTTGAGAAACATACACTAAATGCAAAAGAATAGATTTGCCTTTGTTTCACCACAGAGTCTTCTTCAAGCATTGTCTAAAGTGGTTGGTTCTTCTAATGATCCTGAATTAGGAGGTAAGATAACAGAGTTTTCTGTTTCTGGCATCTTCCCTACCTGTAGAGAGAGAGAGAGAGATAGAGAGAATAAGTCAAAATTTTCAGAGAAAACCATTAAAGACGTCCATACGAAATTTAAACCCTCAAAATATAACAACTCACAGTATTCACCAAACCAGGAATCTCCTTTGAAACAAGTGCAAGATACTGCTCCATTGCCTCTTCTTGACTCATGTTTCCAAGTTTTTGCCAGGCATTCCTGATACAAGTAAGCACTGTGTGTGTCACTTGCACATATCAGTAAGAACATGCTACATAACTTGCTGACTCTGTCCTAACTAGTTGATCAGGTATCTTTTAAAACTTTGTCCCTCCTAGTTTCTAGTGCAGTGAGTACCCTCCCATGTTAGCAATATGACTTACAAAAATCTACTATATAGAAATGTATTCCTAACCATTATGCAGACTAAGTATGGTACCATTTAGCACGAGCAGAGAGCATGACAGCCATCGGTTGTGCCTCTCGGCATGACCCTTCAGTGGCGATCTTGTGCAGGCCGTACAACTCCATCTTAGCCTCACCACCAATCTCTTCACCTTTCCCTGATTCCTCCAGAAGATTTGAAGCAGCCACAAAGGCTTTCTCCAGCTCACTCCTCTCAATTCCTTCCCAGTCATCATCATCATCGTCTTCAATATTCAACTCCTCTTGCTCTTCCTTCTCTTCTTCAGTACTTAACTCCATCTTATCATCACTCTTCTCAACACATTTACTTTCTTCAACCTTAACCTCCTCAGACTCCGTGACTTCGACTTCTACTCTTGTTACGTTTTCTGCACAAGCAGTTCTTTCTTCTGTCGGTTCGCTTCTCTCCTCTTGTCGTCGATTCATAATCTCCTCTGCTATTACAGAAGCAGTGTATTCAGCTTCCACAGTACTAACAATCAACTCTTCTCGATCATCACCGACTTCTCCACTTGTTTCTTCTCTCCGTTTGTCTTCTCCACGAACTATCTTCTCCTTGCCTATCACATTCTCCGGCAAGACAGCAGCCAAGAACTCATCAGCTTCCGAAGTTGTAACCACCAACTCAACCTCTTCATCAGCTTCCTCGACTTCATCAACAACAACACCATCAGCTTCGCTTCCAAACCTATCAACATGTTCCACATTCTCATCAACAACAACTCGGTCTTTCCTCTTTCTCTGGATCACCGGAGCATCCATCTTCAAACCAAAACGAAGCTCCTCCACAGTAACTAAACCATCACCGACACCGATCTCTGTTCTCTCCGCCTGATCGGAACTACGATCGGCCATAGAAACAGATACGAGCTTGGCGACAAGGAAAGAAAAGAGAAGCGCAACAACCGCCGTGAGAAGCAATTCAAGGAAAAACTCCATGATATGGATCACGCAAAAGACAGAACCAGAACAAAGGGAGGAAAAAAAGAGTAAAGTAGAGATACTTAGGATCTAGCAAGGAGGAAAAGAAAAAGAGAAAGAAAGAAGAGAAGAGAAGAAGACAGCATATTCGTAGCGGGTCCGACAATAACAGGACTTTCTTTCTCAACACCTAACCGCTTTCAATGCTGACTTGGCTCTTACGGTTTACGCTTATCCTCTTCTTCCACCCCCAACTGTTTCCTTGTCCACCACCGCGCCGTTTTTTTTCTTCTTTGGACTATAAAATACACTTAATGGGCCTAAAAAGCCCATTATGCATCACACCCCAAATAAAACCATCGTTTTTGTTTTGTTCTTCTCTACTCATTTTCACTAACTGGATAACAGGTCAGAGCGAATATATGCCATCAAACATTTGTGAAAAAAATAGTTTCATTCTATTTTTTATGAATAATATTTTTGACTATATTAATTTGTATCGAATATCTAGATATTTCGAATAACATTTTGAACGAATAGTATTTGTTTATTTTGAGCTCCACTGGTTTCCAATTCCCATAATAAAATCATTGACGTTGAGATTGTCAAATACTTGACAAAATGAGGACACGTGTAGCTCTATCAGTGGTAGTCTATTTGACTGATGCACTATCTTTAAAGAGAGAGAAACCGCATTAGAGTTTTTGAGTTGACTCTCCCTTTCATTTCTCCTCTTTTACTCGGTGCTCCTCCTCATCATCATCATCTTCTTTAAACAACTCCAAGGAGGGAAAGAAGAAGAAGACGAATACAGTATTTTGACTTTTTAAAAAAAGGATAAGAGTGGTGTGTCTTTGTTGTGAGATATGGCGGTTGAGCTTATGATGAATAGCTACGCTAGAGTCAAAGGAGAAGAAGACGGTAGCTTTTCTACAAATATGGAAGACACTGCCTTGAGAGAAGCAGCGTCTGCTGGGATTCACGGCGTTAAAGAGTTTCTTAAACTGATTAATCAAAAAAGTCAACCCACGGAGGAGAACAAGACTGAGATAACGGCGGTGACTGACGTCGCCGTCAACAGTTTCAAGAAGGTGATATCTCTTCTCGGCAGATCTAGAACCGGTCACGCTAGATTCAGACGAGGTCCCACCACGACGAAAACTGAAGAAGGTCGAGAGAAGAAACCAGCAACGACAATAACAACAAACACTGTCGTGTTGAACAGACAGAAAACAGAGCAGAACGTTGGATCTGCGTTTAAGGTTTATTGTCCGACACCAATCCATAGACGTCCTCCTTTATCACACAACCACTGTCTCACAACAAAGAACGGTTCGTGTTCTTCGGCTAACGGAAGACAACAACCACAAGAGCCATCATCAACGATAAACTTCGCGCCGTCTCCACCTGTCTCAGCGACGAACTCGTTCATGTCTTCTCATAGATGTGACACAGAGACTAGTAACCAGATGTCATCAGGATTCGAGTTCACTAACCCTTCCTCTCAAATCTCGGGTTCGATTGGTAAGCCTCCTTTATCATCAGTTTCGTTGAAGAGAAGGTGTAACTCATCTCCCTCAAGTCGTTGCCATTGTACCAAGAAAAGGTTAGATCCCACACTAATCTTTTATCATTAGATCTAAATCTTAGAGATTTAAACATTAATTGTTGTTATTTAAAAAAATAAACAGGAAATCTAGAGTAAAGAGAGTGATTAGGGTTCCTGCCGTAAGCAGCAAGATGGCTGATATTCCAGCAGATGAGTATTCATGGAGAAAATATGGTCAAAAACCAATCAAAGGCTCTCCTCATCCTCGGTTAGTCTTTAATTAATTTTATTAATTCATCCTTAATCACACTAAACACATCATACATCACTATAACCATCTACTTGACTAATTAGATTAGAAAACTATGCAACTTGTGTATTTTGTCAAATATTTTTCTCTATATTGGCTGTACCAAATGTGTCGTTTAGTAATAGTGGATACACACTCTTTTTGACTTGTTTGTTTATTTATCTACAAAGTTTTGAAAAATACACATAGGACGAGTTGACTCGTGTTGATGATATGTTAAAATCTTTAACTCGATCGGTGACTCGGTGATTACAGGGGATATTACAAATGCAGCAGTTTAAGAGGTTGTCCGGCGCGTAAGCACGTGGAGCGTGCACTCGACGATGCGATGATGCTTATCGTGACTTACGAAGGAGACCACAACCATGCTTTGGTCCTCGAGACGCATCATGACAAACCTCTTTAACTTTGGTCTTTGCCGGCGTCTGTTCTGAGCCGTTAGATCTGAGTTTGAAGTGACCCTACTCTCTTGTTACCTGTTCAAAATCCAGATTAGTCAACGACACAGTGGGCCCTAGATTGCACTTTTATATATTTTTCTGATTTTTTTTTACGAAAGCTTTTGCTTTATTTTGCTTTAATTGGAGAGAATAGGGGGCAATCGTTGTGGATCTTGACTCTTGGTGCAAGTTGAATCATGTGAAAGTCCTTTTCGTTTATTTAATTACTCTAAAGATAATAGCACAATATATTAGGTTAGTTTTTAGATTGAGTTGACTAATTTGTATGAAAAAACTTGCAATTAAAAACTTTCATGAAAGGTCAATAACTATTTATCACCATGTTTGAAATTTTACATCAACTAATTAATGAACGTTACAAGAATTTATAACCGTTGTTGACTTCACAGAAAATTTTATGAATGAGGTTGTTGACTTTATTACCACAATGTTCGAAATGCATTGGCAAATTAACAGATCGACACAATCTTGTCATGAGAGCTCTAAAATTAGCATAGCATAACGATCTAGTGCAAATGATACAAAAGGGATAGCGTAGGAAATGATGTGGCACTTCTTATTGGATTCGGACATAAACTGCAGACTTTAAGGGTTATCACATTCCATGACTTCATCGACTTGGACATTAAAAGACTCAGGAATGGTAGGTTGTATCTCCATCTTGTGAGCATCGCTCGTGGATTCACCTTTGTTCCTTGTATCTGACAACCATACTTCGAGTGTTGAGTGTACTAAATCGTCGAATATCCCTTTCTTGAATTTGCTACCCATCTTTAAGAATTTAAAAAAAAAAGTGATTTAGATTTTGTTTAGTTGTGTAATATTAACGTATATAGCTAGGCATGTGTGGTTACATATCTACACACTTACTTGTGTAACAAGAGCATAAAGTGGCAACGTGCTGTAACTGCAAAGCACTTGGACTAACACTCTGTCTCAACAAAGAGTTCATCAGATCAAATCATAGTTTATTTTAGATTGAAGTGTACACAAGTATTAGTTACCCCATGATGAGTCGTGGAATAAGGAAGCCTAGTTTCTCCATGATACACGAATGTATTCCGTATGTGAACTGATGATACGATGAATAAATCATATATAGTATAGCATTGTGATTGTTGAAACAAAACAAAAGAAAAAGGAAGGAAAGTGGAATACCAAAATCCAGAAGAAGAAAGCGATCTCAAATGAATTCTGAAAGAGAATGAAGTGGACGAGTTGGAGAATAATCTCTGGTCTGTGGAACCAAAAGAGTTCATCAGAAGGTGTGATAACTGCTTGTTCCCCACGGTTTCTCTTCTCACAAACATCCAGAGCTAAGCTACTTATTATATTCTCCAATTTTGCACCCACCATTAGTAACAACTGCATTAAGAAAACACATTGAAGTAAATCATTCAAAGAGTTCAATGATATGATTAAATTATTAGACTAAATGAACTTACTATTAAAGGCAAGAAAGACAACCAGAAGTAAGTATTCCATCCTCCTACATTCAGCAGCAGAAAGACGACGACAAATAGCCATAGATACCAGCTTTATATTCATACCATCATCACATCATACAAAAATGGTGTTAGACAAAACTGATGAAGTCATTGGTGTGTGTAATCTAAAGAGATAAATACCTTATGGTCACAACTTTCTTGAAATCTATCTCCACTGTTCTTAGCATGTACTTGTGAAAATTAAAGGCTGGATTTGTAGGGCAATGAGTCTTGGAAAAAAGAAGGAATACATATTGTTATTTGTTACATAAAAGACTAACATGTTTGTAAAAGAGAGTGAAGTAAGACCATGATGAATCCATGTCGCAGAGCTATGTATTCTGATTTGGTGACTGAGCCATAAAACTGCTTGCAGAATGATCTCTACATTACATTGTGGCTAATCTCATCAGAAATCAAATAAGATCTTAATTGGTAGATAGGTATGTTTCATGTGTAACACTTTTGCTTTGGCATTAGTATTCATAACTCACCAGCCAGCTGATGACAACAGATCTTCTCCAGAATCCTCCAGCATGCATCTTGAAGAACTCATGATTTGCGTTAAATAATTCATGAAGGGCATGAGCACGAGCATGGTGAGCGTGAGCGTGAGCATGACCAGGCTTTGTTGCATCTGCAACATGTTTTTCTTTTTCCTATTTAGGTTTTGAAGACGCTAAAAATCACTTCAAGTGTTAAGTCTCACCCTTTTGAGAAGGAGGTTTCTTGAACTTATCCTCCCAACGTTTCCATTGTTGTATCTACATATAAGTTCAAATCATATGACATAACCATAACAAAACAAGAGACATCTTTTGAATAGAAAGTTCCAATGTTGTTTTGAAACTTGTGAGAAACGCTACAAAAGCATTTAAGTTACATTACCCTAGCTCCTCCAAGAAACATCGTTGAGGCACAGAAGATGACGTGAAAAACCGCTAGCACGAATATAAAGATATGAAGATGATGTAACGCTTCAACGGATATTAAAGGAACTTTCCCCTGCAAAGTGCATACAATGTGATGAAAAAGCAAGACACAGAGTGAGATCGGAGTTTTAAGGAAATGAAATTGCCTTTGTAGTACAATGGTCTGGACTTGATCCTGTTGAAAGTAGATGTCGTGTAGTGAAGATAAGCGAATGAGATGATTCAGGAGCATGATGCTCCTCCTCTAATGGCTTCTTACAAGGGAACATGTTGCTAACAAGAGCTGGTGGGACACATATATGCCTGATTGCTGTCTGAGACACCGTTAACATAAGCGAGATGAATCCTAGAAGCATCAGTTCTGTTTCAGGACATACAAATATTGGTCAGTTTATGTGTAACTAAATCAAAATTGAGAGGAAGAAGAATACCTTCTTTAAGTTTCTGTAAGGCCTCAAACAAGGCATCTTGTTTTCTACGTTTCAGAAACTGAGACACAGACAATGGAGGAGAGTTATTAGAAGAAGAGAGCTTAGAGTTGACAGATATAGAGAGTGATGATATATATACCTTTCCAAGATGATGAAGACCACGTTCAGCGAGAAGAGATAAGAGTACGATGATGAAACAGATGAAGGCTACGACCCATGTGGGTGTATATTCAAGTGAATTCTCTTCTTCTTCTGCCATTTTTTTCTGCACCTCAAGATGGTGACAACTCTTTGTTATTTTTTATATAAAGCAGAGAATAAGAAACGGAAGTAGTTGAGGGTAAAGAATAGAGAGAAAGATTAGTGTGTAGGTTTCCTTGTATATAGTAAAAAAACACAAAAACCTTTCTTCTGTCTCACGCAACTACTTAAAATATAAACAAACTAAGAATATGTATACACACCAAATAAGACTTGTTATCACTTGAAAGTACTTTATTAACTTAGGAAACTATAGATAACTTATTACACTCAATAGTTTTCAGTTTTGTTTACGGTATCGCTCTGTGATGTACATGTTTTCGGGTAACGATGTCCAGAACCTATGTTTTGTTTGTTCGTGACGTGTGTCGGAATGTTTTATAGGATGGTGTAATAAGAAGATGCAAACACATGTAACATGTCAAAGATGTTTCAATTATTGTCGTAAATAGGTTTTTGCTTAATGGCGAAAACAAGGGAAGAAACAACGAACTACATTTGAACTTAACTCGATAACACAACCGAATATTCCCACTGATGATCGCTTGGCTGGAGCTGCTTCTACGATAATGGGAACACCAACACTTGGATTCGGGACCATGTACTGCTGATAGGACTTATGGATGCGAAGATCAGAGACCTGAGACAAAGGTTTTATCTCGACGATGGCTTCTTCTTGTTTCTGAGGCAATTGAGTATTCCAAGAAGATTCTGATGATGTCTCTGGTGGATAAAGACGCTGAGTTTCATCGAACCAAAACGGGAGAGGAGGTGCTGTAGGCTCAATCGCCACCAGGGGCTCAAGAAAAGGTGCTGACATTGAGGAGTAGTCACAAGAGCATTGGTGTGGCTGAGAAGATGAGGAAGCTTGCTTGTGTTTCTTCTTCTTTCTTGACCAGAACTTGAGCTTCTTCACTGCTTTCATAACCTTCATTGGATGGATTCTGCTTAAGGCTTAAGAGATAATGGTACACTGCTGTCTTTTTGTATGAAAAGGTGATTAAGTTTGTAACCGTTGAGCAAAAAGTCAAAAGGAGAGCCTATAATCAATCTTCTTTAGCTTTTTGTAATTTTCAATCTTTGTGACCGTTTTATTAGCACAATCTTGCAGAGGCCCCACATGCTCTACCTACCAGTAATGATATGCCATTCTTTGTCTAAATGCTACAAGTTATGTCGATGCAATAATTTGTATGTCGATGCAATAATTTCTACACATTCTTCTTTGCCATCACTGCAAAAGATTCCTATTTAATGAAAAGTAAAACTTAATCGGTGAAGCTCTTAAAAACATGATTATATGGCTTTAACATCAAACAAAATACGAGAAGCAGAAGATTATGCATTCCATGGAAGGATAAAAGATATGATGGTCGGACTGAAAACATGGTCCTCTTGCAATAACATAAGATTGCTTCAGATTGCGTTTAGAAAAGTTGAACAAGAGTTGTATCCAGGGGAAGAGAAAGAGAAGAGAAGAGAAGGGACCAAAGTCAAAAGCCTTACTTTTTAAGGAACATATTCCTGAACTCGTCATTTGATTTTGGCGTCTCATCTGCGATGGGTTTGGGTGTTGTGAAGCCGAGTGCTTTAACATTTCTTGGGACAGCGAACGTGTTCTTACCCCTTAACTCCACTTCATTTCCTCGCTTTTCACCCTCAGCTTCGCTATCAAGAGGTGCTTTCGCCTTGTCAGAAACCTGGGATGTGTCCTTTGAATTCCCCGGACCTTCTATGGAAGCAAATCATACAAGGTTAACATTATTTGCACCAGAAGTTGCTAAGTATTCGATACTTGGTTTATATATTATGAGGAGAATCAGAAAGAGAGATT